CGGGAAGGCTCAAGAATGATCTGAAATTAAAAAAAGCAAGCAAACAATTGTGTTGAGAAAACCTCAATCTGTTTATATTTTCCAAGAGAAGGTAAGGAGGTGGCAGCCTACGAATTCCTGTGCTGGAAGAATAATTTTGATAATAGATGCTTCACCCTGTGAGATACAAATGTAAAGGTATGATGGCAGGAATTTGAGGCTGAGAAAATTGAACTAAAAATTAAATGAATGCATATTTTAAGTGCAGATTAATTAGTTATCCAAACAACTTGCAAAGGGGTCTAGTATGTTTGCTATTCTCAGTAACTTAAGATGGGATGCATTTTTGAAAAATATACATGTGTCAAAGAGAAATGTATTCAGTAAAGTCCTGTGGACTTTGATAAAAAGGAGGGCAGGTTAAGTGAGGGTAGCAAACCCTTCTTGAGTAACAGTCTGTGAGTCTGTGACAAGGGGTGTGCGTGTGTGTATGTAATTCTGGGGTGTTTTGTTTTGTTTTGTTGGTAGGTATGTTGATGATGTGATCAGTCGCATTGATAGGATGTTCCCTGAAATGTCTATCCAGTTATCCCGGCCGAATGGAACCTCGGCGATGCTCCTGGTAAGTTGGATCGCTTAATCCCATGAGAGGGGTTTCTGAGTGGACTGAGTTACTATTTCTTTACTGAGGATGCAATTTTCAGAAACATACAGCTCTTATTCCTCACAGCAATGCAGGATCTCTCTTCCTCTTAGTAAGAAGTTAGGAAAATACATTTGAAAGCCCTTAAGTGGGCACTGCTGGTGCAATACTAGAAGTTTGCTTGGCAGAGTTGAGTTTCAGGACTATTTTATAAATTGGAAACTCTGGGACAAGTTTGTACATTTAATGACAAAATTGCAGCAAAAGTTTTTAATTATATTGAAGAAAATGAGCATAAAACGACTTTCTGAGGATATATAAATAGCTGTAATTGAGTTCTTATACTTTTGATAAGCACCAGCCAAACGTGTCACTAAAATTTTTTTTCTCAATTAAATACTTAATCCTGCAACACTGAAGTCAAAGAAAGTTGGATTTGTTGATTCACTTGGAATGGATTAAGGCCTGACTTCTTTCTTAATAAAACCCCTGAAATCACATTTGTTTTTACTTACTTTGAGGTTTTGCATTTTGAAAAGGCAAACGGAGGGTAAAAGAAGATTTCACCTTTAGAGGAAAAGTATGCTACTACTTATTGTTAAAAATGTGACAGTAGAAATATGTGCGCACCCAAACTCAAATATTCACTGTATTTTTAGCAGTCTGGGCAGAGAGTGAGTCTTAATCATGATAGTTAAGAAGAAGAAAAGTGGTAGGAGGAAGAAAAGAAAAAGCAAACCAATATGATTTGAATTTGTTCGCATTGCTCTTGGGTCAGTGCAGTTCTGTTTTATGATGAAGTCAAGAATTTGCCTTTGAAGTAAATGAGCAGTAAAAACTGGATTATAGATAAACAAGTCCAATACATTAAACTTATTTCTGCCTGACCAAGCAAGATTTTGTTCCAGAAGAGCCTATTGTTCATATTAATTTTCACAGACAGCTGCTGCGCTTATAGCAAGAGAAGAGTATTAGAAGTTTTTACTCTCAAACAGCAAGCTATTGAAGTGGAGAATGGTGAACTGTGATAGCATGGCACTCCGATGTGATCTTACGCTGGTATTTCTCTGAGGGGATGAAAGACAGAAGGCCCATCTTTTGACAAATTTTAAGTAAAACCACAAAATATTCTATTCCCAGCATAAGAACTGGCACTAAATTAGTCTTTTTCCATCTCGGATACTTCATGGCGTTTCCTTTTATTATTTGCCTTGTTCACGTAATCAGTTACCAAAGGCTTGAGTAGAACGCTCATGTGAGTATGTTTCTTGTTTCCAAGCAAACAGCAAAATAAAACTAAAGATGGGATATCTCATCAAAACAGAGTTGCTGAGTCAATGTTAGGATCACTCCTTAGATTTAATAGTTTTTTATATCGTTTGTTGGCTTCAAAACCATATTATGGATAGTTTTCTCCTAGGTTTTTTAATGTTTGTGTTCATTTCTCTATAGTAAGTCTGGCTGTGATTATATTTAGTTGCAATTAATCAACTGTCTAACATCCCATTGTTAACTTTCTTTTGAACAGCCCCAAATTTGCCAGAGATTAACTGAGTCAGAGGTTAAAATAAACAGCTGGCTTTCACTGGCGCTAAAACATTTAATCTGCAATTGTTAGATTCACCAAGTGGAACAATATAGTCCATAAAAGAATTGAATTCATCAGTGCTGTCTTAAGAAGCTATAAGTCGTAGAAGCTTTTGCATTTGCTCTTACACTGTCTTTGTATTTAACTGTTTCTCTGCAGAATCAGTCATGTCTGTCTTCGCTTTTGTACTTTGAAACCATTTCCGTTTGGTTAGAGCCTCTCTTTGCATATGTGAACTACCTTTCGCTCTGATGGCTTTTTGGGGTCTGAATGTATTTGACACGTTTCAAGGTTCAAACACTCAAATAGGAAATTCACTAAATTTTCCTGGATATGGCTGATTAGCAACAAAGTAGGTTGGAAGGGTGGTAGTTGTTGAGGAAGCCACTCTTATAGTCGGTGACGACTTACTGAATTCCATGTCAGAGTTGCTCTGTAAATCAAGGACGTTATTGTTGCTACAAGACGGTAGCCCTGTATTGAACCAGTGGTATGCATGTTTTCCTTGGATCAGAGATCAGAAAGATTGTTTTTAAAGTATTTTTGTATATGATTGTGTGATGGGTTTATCATTTTTTTTCTTTTAGGCAGGTTTTCCCTCTTCCCCATCTGTCTCAGTTGATGTTGCCAATATGGCACTTTCCATCTGGCCCCGGCTGCTGCAAAAGCTTTTGCTGTTTTCAGCCACAGATCCTGCAGCGAGAGGTGCCGCAGGCTGGGCACTAGCGTGAGCAGCACCTCCCCCAGCAGGAGGGAGGCTGCTTGGGCGCTTGTGATTTCTCACTCCGAACTTCTCCCAAGTTAGACTGGGAGCCGCTTCCTTACAGCAGCGTGATTTGCCGTAATACCAAAGGATTCAGCTAACGTTGGTGTGTTTAAAAACATTTCGCAACCATACTGTTGGCGCATTAGTTACGTATAACCTCAGCCGCTTTAGTCCTTTGCCTGTCCCTGTACTACCCCTTAACTTTATAACCTAGCTGCCACGGCACAGGAAGACCTTGGAGGCAGAGATCTGGTTGTGACGTGAAGACATCCAAACATCTTTAAACGCAGTAGTTCAGTTTACCAGAAAAGCACACATTTATCAGCAAAGGCACTGGCAAGCAGTGTACAGATATTAAGAAAGTGAGAACTGTTGGGAGGAGGTGGGGAAGGCGGAGAAAGGAGTGTCTGTGAGATTCTTTGAAACTTCAGAGTAGCTGGAGAGACTTTGCCAAACAAATCATGTTTAGGAAGAAAAGACCTAATAGGGTAAATTTCAGCCCCAGACTGATAGAGGACCTTATGCGCACAGAGAAATGGATTTATGTCCTTCGCTGTAGTGGTGGTACTTTTGCAGTCTACAGTTCATCCACTGTTTCAAGAGGAATAGTTATTAATAGCGTGAGTCTCCTCATCTAACTTTTCTGGCTAATAAACTTTGTATTTAGCTTCACTTTCCTTTAACAGGATTCATCTTTCATGTAAGGTGAGAACTTTAAGCAAAACAAAACAAAAAAACAACTCCCTTCCTATTCCTGAGAGCGTAAATGCTGTATCTGAAAGGCTTCTGTCTCTAGTCTTTTGAGGTTACTGCTTCCTTCAGACAATAAGAAGGTTTTTTATGTTTTAGATTTATACACAGCAATTGTACCTCATTAGTCTGGATTTATGCTACACGGGCCAAACACATAAATAATTGAAACCTTTCAGAGCTGTGTGAAATCCTCAGCTGATTTTAAAAGCAGTTTATCATGGCATTTCAAGGTGCAGTTTAATCCCAATCTTCACTAGTGATTTTTCAATTAATCTTTTAATCGCACAATGCATGAAAAAGACTAAAGGTAGAATTACCTCAGCTTTAATAAGAGTGCTATGCAAAATTAATTTCTGGCAGCAGCAGAGGGAACAGAAGACTCCTTAAGGTATTTGTTAGATTTTGTTGGTCAAATGCCAGGAATTGTAAATAGATAAACCTCATCTCATATGTTGAGAAAGCATGAATTGATTTTTATTTAATGAAAAATACCTGGACTTTTGTTTTGATTGGTTAGTTATATTCCTAAATGCACGTTAGTGTTTCTAATAAAATGTCTTGATGCTGTAATTATCGTATATAGTTGTTTCACATATCTGGTTTCCGTTATCAAAATTCAGAATATTTTTTCAGTGTGAAACTTTTAATTCTTGTATATAATTCATCTAGATATCAAAAACATTGTACAAAGCAGCCCCTGAAACATCAGCCCCATGTTTCAGTTGATGAATGAGACTTACTCAGGGTCATGTAGCTAGCCGGTCCTAGGCAGGCATAGAAACTTATTCTCTTGTCTTTATCCGGTAACTAGTTGGGCTTTAAAGATCTTTTGCCCGCCCAGCGTTTGTAAAGCCAGGTAAAAGGACTACTAGGGAAGATGAGAACATTGTGTAAACATTTTTACAAGTAATGAAACGTTTTCTGTATTTTCAGCTCTTTCTAAAGCATGATATGTATAACTGAATATCAGTTTGAAAAATGAGAAAACAGAGCTCACTTCAGGAATCATGATTTCTTTGTTTCATGTTCTGTTATCTTGAAAACTTTTGGATAAATTCATTCTATACATTTATACTGATGTCTAGATTTTTAGCAGGTCTTTCATATAAAAATCTGAAACATTTTTATACAAATTCTATTAATTCTCAGTAAAATCACATATTTGCATTTCAACTTCTAAATCTTGTTCCAGACATTTTAAGCAGTCTGGCTGTATGGAAGTGCAAATAGGCTAGACATCTGTTCAGTAAAATTTAATAATTTCTTGAGTCTAATGTTTGTTTATCTATCAGTGGTTTACTTAAAATTGAGAGTACTTTCTACTGGAAACCTGTATTCTGAAAGTTATTATTTACCTTTTAAAAAAGGCCATCAAACTGATTCTTGTTCAAGAAAACCTGATTTGGGGAGCAGTTAATAATGAAATACTGGCCAAGTGATTTGAAATTAGTATATATGTCATACTTGATTGGAAACAATTAAATTTTTGGTTTGGGTTTTGGGGGGGCAGGGGGACGGGCTTCAAACAGCCTCTGCTCTCCAAAACGCTAATCAGTGTAAGCGTTCCCCCGTTACCAACGTGGTAGTTGTTTAGGGAGCTAGCATGTCCTTGGGCCTTGGGCTGCTCTCTTTTCCCAAAGGCAGACGGCAGAGGCACGTGCTCCTGGTCACAGGGTGCACCCACGCACCAGGAGCAGTACAGCGCTCCCATTCAGGCCCCTCCTGTGTCCATACCAGAAGTCAGGAGTTTGTTATAAGTGACTCTTGCCAGTTCCTTTTTCTAATTAAGTTGACCCTTATGACTTTTGCACGCCGGTCAACAATGACGAGAATCCTTTCATACATTACTAAGTAGTTCATTCCCTGAGGTGA